TCCATTGATGACTCCAGAAAATTTCAGCGTCTTTTTGTGTCTTTTCATGCATCAATACATGGTTTTAAAAATGGTTGTCGTCCACTCATTTTCCTTGATGCTACAGCAGTGAAATCAAAATATCACGAGATACTATTGACTGCTAGTGCCTTAGATGGAGATGACGGTGTTTTCCCAGTTGCAGTCACCCTTGTGGATATTGATAATGTGGGCAATTGGCAATGGTTCTTGGAGCAGTTGAGGTCTGCGCTGTCAACTTCACGATCCATAACCTTTGTCTCTGATAGAGAGAAGGGATTGACGAAATGTGTGCTAGAAGTATTTGAGAATGCCCATCATGGTTACTCTATGTTCTACCTGATGGAAAACTTCATGAGAGACTTGAAAGGTCCATTCCATGGAGATGGAAGGGGTTCTTTGCCAGTAAATTTCTTGGCTGCTGCCCGTGCTGTCCGTGTTGATGCTTTTAAGATGTTCACTGAACGAATTAAACGGATTTCTCCAAGAGCTTATGATTGGGTAATGACAGTTGAGCCAGAACACTGGGCAGATTCAGCATTCAAGGGTGAGCGTTATAGTCAGATTACATTCAACATTGCGGAGTTGTATGCTAAATGGACACAGGAAGTCTGGCAGCTTCCCATCATACAAAAGATTGAAAAGCTAATATCTAAGATGATGGAGTTGATAAATGACCGCCGGAATATTTCAAGTGATTGGTCTTCAAAGCTTACTCCATCAAAGGAAGAAAAAGTAGAGGAAGAAAGGAGAAGAGCTTGTGATCTAAAAGTTCTATTCTCATCTGATACCTTATTTGAGGTTCACGATACTTCAATTAATGTTGTTGATATCGACAAAAGGGACTGCAGCTGTCTGGCCTGGAAAGTAACAGGGCTGCCCTGTCGCCATGCTATTGCCGTTTTCAGTTGCACTGGCAGAAGCGTCTATGATTATTGTTCGAACTACTTCACAGTTGACAACTTCCATGTAACATACTCGAAGTCTATAAATCTTTTCTTGTCTGTTTTCAATCCCTCAGATGAAGAAAAAGCAGGGTCGGAGGCAGAGACTGTTCTGCCCCCTTCGATCTCTCGGCCTCCAAGCCAAGAGAAGAAAAAACCGAACAAATCAAAGGGAAGGATTAAACGTTTAGTTTTTTGTACCAGATGCAAGGGAGCAGGACATAACAAGGCTACGTGCAAAGAAATCGAACAGGGCATAATAAGACTTACATAAAAATTATAAGATTAGAGCAAGGAAACATAGAGCACACGTCCACCCTCTTGGTTGGCCTCTTCTAGGTACTGCTTTGTACAGTTTTCCTCTTTTTTTTCTTTTGACTTTCTTCTCTTTTTCCATTACTACTTAGAAGGTAAAATAATTTATGAAAACTGGGCTCTGCATTTATACTTCCATGCAGGTTTGTATAAAATTTGGTACATATTGCCGTCTTAGCTTATAATCTTGAGGCTGAGGAATTGAACAATTTGTTTGGTTCAAGTCCCATTCAACTCCTTACTGTATATAACTTTCCATACAACCATCATTTATATGTTTCATTTTGCTTATCAATCCAACTTAATGAATTATTACACTTAAACTATTTTTCATGCATACAACAAAATATAACCTTACATGAAAATGGTACTGAGATAATTTTGTGTTTTTTAAAAGATAATTACTCTTACGAAATATCTCTTCTATGTAACAGAGAGATGAACCAAGAGTTACAATGAGATTTTCTTTCATTTCCATTTTATCATAACTTAGCGACTAAAAATATAAAAGTATACAAGGGAATGGAGGAATCGAAAAACCCTTCCATTCTCTTTTCCCTTGGACCTAAGCAAATCAGCAAACAAGGGGAGATTCCCTCCTTTCCCCTATATTTTCCCCATCCAAACATATCCAAAATGAGGCCAAATATGTTACCTGCGTGGCTAAAATCTAAAGCATTACCACCCTCTTGAATGGAAGCATAGTACATTACATGAAACAGAAATCAAATAGTCGCTTGATTCGTCAGCGAAATATGTATTAATGCTTCCTCTGATCCGCCCACGAAATGTTTAAAAAAATAAATACAGAACAATTTTCTGGCCTGTCACTCTTTACCCACATGCAAGACAAACACTAACCTATAAAGCAGTCAGTATAGGCTACACTCAACTGTCTACTCCATTTCCACCGAAGTTCCCCATCTATGAATGTCTCCTGTCTATTTTCTACACAATCAGTATCATAGCGGCAGAGTCAACATCTGTACATCTAGTCCCTTCCTGTAGCATCAATCTGGGAAGGCAAACCTAAACACGATGGGCAAGGTGGGTCACGCCTATCTTCAAGACAAGTTCTCTCTTCCAGGCAGTCTGCATGATAAACATGTCCGCAAACTAAAATTGCCACGACAGAGTATTCACCACTTGACAGTGCATCCCCCAGAAAATAAGGTTTTCGTCTCAGGAGCTTCTGACATACCCCACAAACCTTCTTCCCCACATCAGATGGCCCTGCATCAATTAACAAGGAAGTAGACCTGATTCGCTCTGGTCTGCCAAATGCCTTTTCCCTATACTCTGCAGAGATGAGCGGGAGTTACAACAAAGCTTATGAAGATAATCTGTTTCGTCATAAATTAGTTACCATGAAATGGACTTTCAATCACCAAGTTCCATGATGCATAATCTAGATGAATGAGATTTCATTACCTTGTTTTCACTTTCTCTAAAAACAAATGCAGTGGTTAACAATAAAATAGATGAATATTTTACCTGCAATTCGTCCGTACTCAGAGGTACATTGACCAGAGAACTTGAAAGAGAATCTCTCATCGCGTGATGGAATCATCTTGGCATGAGAACTTGATGCATTAACATTGTTTCCTGAGTTTCGCCGAGAGTATTGATGGCCATAGTAATGACGTGACCGCTTTAAGAACATAGAACGGCCAAGATTATAATGGTGGTGTGGAAGAGAAGAATGGACATTCAACAGCTTTGCAGTATTATCTGGGATATCAATGCCTGGTGAGAGAATGTTAGATTCAGTACAGTCAACGGACTTTGAGGATTTCTGCAATTAAAAAAAAAAGTTATCTGGTTATGGTCATCTTGATACCCCCCCAAAAAAAAAGACGAAGGGGTAATGTACAGTCCTCACAACCACAAAAATTCACAATCTTAAAAAGCTACAGGTACTCTTCCCCACAAACTCAAAGGAAAATGCAAAAATAAAAAGGTGAAGAAATGAACGCAAGAATTGTTCAATGCGCAGATGAGTTATCTACCTCTTTGCATAATGATTCCAAATCTGAAGAGCATGGCATGTTGTCTACAATATTGAAAATAAAGCAAAGGTCAGTCTATTTCAAATATTTATGTGTACAATACAACAATAATTAGAAGAAGCCATTTTGTCTCCTCTAGCCAGATAATTTATATGTAGGCCACAAGCAAATATGCAAAACCCAAATTTTCAAAATAGGACCAGCCCATCAAGACAATAATTCAGACAAACAGAGACGGTATCACAAATTGAAATCTCATCCATAATCACATAAGATAAATACAAGTTAATACAAATGCCCATTCAAAAAGTAAATTCTTTAACAAGTTAAACCATTGGCCAAAAAAACCAACTCACTTAGCTGAGTTGGTTATGTCCTTCCTCCTTTACTAGGAGGGTGAAGGTTCAACACTTAAGACCCCCCTTAGGGACAGCAAAGCACCACTCAACAAAAGAAACAAAATTAAAAACAAAAAAGTCTCCTTAGGTTGTGAATATGTATAGCCAGAACTCAAAAGTCTGGGCATAGAATAATACGCAACGACCATTTTATGTTCTCAAATGGCAGAAGCAATAACAAGATACCCGGCAGAGATGGCAACAACCTAGTCCTACTTCTAAATGCCAAATGAACCGGAATGCAACTAAAAGAAAAGATGGAAAGAAGCCTGCCCCATGTGGAAGATAAAATATTAACAATTAGAAGAGGGTCCAGAACAGAAGGAAAAGACAGAAGCATGGACTACAGTCCAGGGTTTAAGAGGGCGGACAATGCAATCACATTCTCTGAGCACGTTGACATGCAACTATTTCAAGCTACTGCAAGCCTAAATTAGTCTCGCCTCCACTTTAGAATACATGTTCCAAAGTATCCACAAAATCAACGTCAACACTTTGATCCCAATTTCCATTTCCATCGAAATAAAAGGAAAAAAAGAAAGTGGGTATAGAGCTAAAATGAACAAATACCGCAAATCAAAACCTCACGGATCAAAAGAAAGTTGCATTGCTCTCTAAATGTTTAAATGCGTTATCCAACAATGCAAAACAAAAAAAAAACCACGGAGAGATAGCAGCGGATCATAAGAGAAGGCAAAAGGAAAAGACACGAACCCTGTCCAACAAAGAAAAGAAAAACCCCTAGCTTTACATTGTATTATTGAGGAAAGGAATAGATCAAATCGAAACGTAAATCAGAATTCTGAGCTTTATATCGTACACACACATCGCAATCGCAAATTAAGTCAAATTCCCCACAAATTCCGTTGATTCCGATCATGATTTCCGGGAAACCAAAACTCATAAGAAAATAAAACATACCGGAAGAAGGAGGAGGAGGAGGAGGAGGAGGGGGATCAGTTTGATTGTTGGGACTTGTGGTTTCCTTAATACATCGCTTTCTTTTCCCCATAACAGCATGAACAAAGTAATTAATCCTTGATAAAAGTAAGGAAATGAGAGGG